TCTGTCTCTCTCTCTCACTGTCCACTCTGCCTGTCCAAAAAAAAAAAAAAGAAAGTGATCATATGGTTTAGAACTACCTACAGCTGTAGGAATCTGCTGCAGGGGGCCTGGGGGGAGGGCTTTGGAACATATTCCCACCAGATAAAGGGTGGACTATTGTATGTTAAAAGCCACAGGAAAGTACTTAAGGTTCAATTCTCAGCTGAAGAAGATCCTGCCCTTATTTCTGGGGGTGGGAGTGGGGGGGGTTGGCAGGCAACTACAAGAAATGAAAGGAGTGGTGGTGCCTCACTCATTCCTGTTACCCTTAGGTTACTTGGCAATGTATTATGTAAATATATATAGTATGGTATAACTCCTGGATAAGGAAAGAAACAGCTAACATGATCCATGAATACATACCTAGTTTGGGCTCAAGTTAAGAAATAACCCTGACTCTCCATTGCCATCTAGTGTTATAATGTGGGATATGTCAATGACATTCAATGTAGGCCATGGGATTTAGATAAGGTTTTGTGTATTATACTAAAAAGTTTAAAGAAACCATATTCAGAATCCCATGTTTTGAGGATAAGGGAATGGTGAAATAGTTCCAGGGTCTCAACAACAAAAATCTATGAAGGGAAGTGAAGGTTACAATATACCTGGTATAGCAATGGATGTGTGTGTGTGTGTGTGTGTGCGCGCGTGTGTCTATGAGAGAGAGAGAGACTAAAAGAGAGAGTGAGTAAGCACGTGCCTTCTAATGGTTCAATTGTTCCCCCCCACCCCGACCATAAATGGCCGAGAGCAAACTTATAGCTATTTCCCTTGCAGAGACCTTGAGGCAGTTGGAGATATGAGTAATTATTTCCTGCCTTTGATAAGTAACTAAGTTCTTCCTTTCTACCCTTTGTTAATGAACACCTCAATAAACACCAGAAAAGCTGGAGTTTCATGAATCTCTGGAATATGGTTATAGTTGATATTTCTAGAGAAGCATGTGAATCATCATAACTTTCACTGTATGTATCCTCTGTGGCTGAGTGAAAGCAAAGACACGAAGGGGCTTTGAAGCCAGCAAGATCACTTGCAATGCTCAGTGTATAGATGGATTCTGTCTTCCCACATGTGAAGCTACAATTTCTGGTACTGCATTTGGAGTGAACAGCTCTGACACAGATGAGCAGTCTCGGCTCCTTGAACTGTTTGATTGAAGTAGCTCTTCAGTACAAACCACCTTTTAGCACATGGGAGTTCCACTTCCACTCTTACCTGCATGGTCTTCCAGGTGGCCAAGGTTGCAGACCTGACTGATGCTGTGCACCCACACCTGCATTTCCTCCTCCGTCTTGGCCACAAGATAGAATGTACGGGAAGTGGTCTTGACAATGAACACAAAATTATTCTGAAATTCCTTGCGAACAAAGCTGGGACCTGCATGTTTCCACACGGTGCACTCACTGAGGTCTATCACACGGATGGGCTTGCTGGAGTGCTTGCTCCTGTAGTACTCCAAGACGTCAGGGTTGCCACTCATACGGCCTCGCCGGAGGACAAACCAGCGCTTGCGCCAGGCCTGCATGGAAGCGATTCAACAAGGAGTTAACAGACCAATTGCTCTTGTTTCTCAGGCTCTGCTAAGAACATATCATGACAAAGAGAGCAGGAAAGAAGAAAACCAGCCATCTGCATGATGAAATACTTTGAATTAAAGGACTCGTGCACCACTTTCAAATCTGCTCTGGTGCATACTTTTAAAGATGGATCAGTATTGGGAAGTGTAGTCATGGTGTTCACACCCATAGTCTTAAGGTCCAGACTTAGCACAAATTTAGTGCATATTCATGCTTTAAAATACCTCTGAGCTTTGGAGTTAAGAAAATGTTTTAAGATGGCAGACACTGCAGCATTCACCCCCCTAATCACAGTGTTTCTCAATCAGGGATGGTTTTGTTTGTCATAAAGGCAGGGGCGGGTGGTGGTAGCAGTGGCAGGAATTGTCAGCATTAAGCTTTCCTTAATAGAACCAGAAACTTGGAAGGAGCTAAATTTCAAGGTAAGATGAGCAAGCAAAGCTTAGTCCATGCTCAGGAAAGAAAAGAGATTGATATTCCACAGAAACCAGTGCCACTGAGAACTACTGAGAAGTTCCTTGGCATCTCACCTACCCTTGACCTAGAATGTTTGCTGTAGACAGTACAGTCTGTTGGCCCAGTACAAAGAAGGGCTGTAGATTCCAGGCTTGGGAAAGTTAACTGCAATTGATCATATGCCCCAAGAACCCTCTGGATCTGTAAACTTCTCTGCCACCTCCTGAAGCCTGAGAGAAGGAAGTGGGGCACCTCTTCAAGTTTTCTATCTTCCTTTGCTCATTGCATGCCAACATCTTGGCCACATGGATAGCAGGCCCTTACTTTCTTTTTTATTTAGAGATTTGTTTATTTATTTGAAAGTCACACACAGAGAGAAGGAGAGGCAGAGAGAGGTCTTCCATCTGCTAGTTCACTCCCCAATTGGCCACACTGGCCAGAGCTGTGCCAATCCAAAGCCGGGATCCAGGAGTTTCTTCCAGGTCTCCCATGTGGATGCAGGGGCCCAAGCACCTGGGCCATCTTCTACTGCTTTCCCAGGCCACAGCAGAGAGCTGGATCGAAAGTAGAGCAGCCAGGACTCAAACAGGCAGCCAGGGATGCCAGCACTGCAGGTGGCAGTTCCACCTGCTACACCACAGAGCTGGCCCCAACGGGTCCTTACTTTCTGCTAAAGGGAACTGACTATAGAGAAAGGTGATATGATTATAGCAAGTCTTTCTTCGATGGGAGATGCTCAGTGTTAGTTGTCAAATGCAAGTGGAGAGATTTATAGCTCTATGGTTTTCTCTCCCATGCAGTGGCTTGTGTGACAGCAGGAAAGTGCAGGGATCTGCCAGGAAGCATGGTGACCGCTGGAACAGGAAGTCTTTTGTATCTCTAGCTTCATTTATGCCCAAAACTGTATAAGCTCACCAGTTTTGACCAGAGGCGAGGAAAAAAAGAAAAGCCACAATTTGGAGTGTCCTCAGCTTTCTCCCTACTCACAGAATGTGAGATCTGAGGTCATAGAGAACCCAAAGAGTTGAAAAGAACAGGCAAAGGCCAGTGGTCACAAATAACCCATGACAACAACTTCTTTCTAGGCTGTGGCAAGAGCAGCAAGCAGAATGAGGGCAGTCACTCCATGTCAGCTTGGGGCTTGTGAAACTTGGTTTAATTCTGCCTTTGAGAAGACGTTGGGCCACTCTGGAGACAGACAAAGCAGTGTGATTAAGTCCATTCTTTAAAAAAAGATGTTCATTTGAAAGGCAGAGAAACAGAGAGGTAGAGACAGAGAGGGAGAGAGAGAGACTGATAGAGACAAACAAAGACACAGAGAGCTTCCACCTGCCAGTTCACTTCCCAAATGACTGTGATGCCCAGGACTAAGTCAAACTGAAGGCAGGGGCCAGGAAATCCACCTAGGCCTCCCAAGTGGGTGGCAGGGGCCCAAATACTTGAGCCATCATCTGCTGCCTCTCAGAGTGTGCATAAGCAGGAAGCTGGATTTAGGAATAGAGCCAGGACTCAAATTTAGGCACTCTGATATGGGATGAGGGCATCCCAAGTAGCAGCTTAACCTCTATGCCAAATGCCTGCCCCTAAACCATTTGTGTTTGCTAAGAAAAGTTTTCATGGGGTACCCGGGATACCCCAAACTTTCCAAAAGCCACTTTTGTGGGGAAATGTGAAGAGGAACTTTGTTCCAGTTCCCAAAATTGATTCTAAAAGAGGAAATCGAAATGAACACAGAAAGAAGTTCCATGTTAATTCATTCAACAAACACAAATATGTATGCCACTGTGCAGATAACTAGGGAAGCTGGGAGAGCTGGCCACAGGCCCTGCCTCTCTCCACGCCATGGGTAGCAGGGGAAGTAGGCAGATGGATAAACTGGCATGTGGAGTCAGTGAGATAAGTGCTAAGATAAGGGAAAACCAAGATGCTGTGAACACCCAAGAGAGACATTTCTGTCAGATCCGTGGTCTGGGGAGGCTTCCAGGAAGAAGTCGTGGCTAAGCTGAGGCTGAAGCAGGGCAGAGGAAGTGGCAAGTGTAAAGGCATCAAGATGGAAAAGGCATGAAGGGTTGTATGAGTAGTTCAGCAAGGCTGGAAGGCAGCCATGAAAATGGAAGAGAAAAAGAACAGTCACACAGCAACTTGAACAGGGTGGAGCAGAGTCTTCATGATAAGTCATCCAAAATTGCCAGCCTGGCTTCTCTTAGTTTTAAAGATCCTTACCTAAGAGTTATGATTATACAAAAGCAGAAATAATGTCGCCTTAGAGCTCTTTGCTAAATAGGTCAAAGGCCCAGTTTCTTCAATGGATAAATGATAAGATAAAGCTTTTGTGCAGCAAAGGAAATGATTAACAAAGTGAAGAGATAACCCGCAGAATGTGAGAAAATACAAACTATTCATCTGATAAGAGATTAATATCTAAAATATATAAGGAGTCCAAACAACTCAATAGCAAGAAAGCAAATAACCCAATTTAAAATGTGCAAAGAGGGGCCTGGCGCTGTGGTACAGCAGATAAAGCTGCGGCCTGCAGTTCCAGCATCCCATATGGGCGCTGGTTCAAGACCCGGCTGCTCCACTTCCAATCCAGCTCTCTGCTATGGCCTGGGAAAGCAGTAGAAGATGGGCCAAGTCCTTGGGCCCCTGCACCCACGTGGGAGACCTGGAGGAGGCTCCTGGCTCCTGACTTCAGATCAGTGCAGCTCTGGCCATTGCAGCCATCTGAGGAGTGAACCAGCAGATGGAAGACCTCTCTCTCTCTCTCTCTCTCTCTCGCTGCTTCTCATCTCTCTTTGTGTAACTCTGACTTTCAAATAAATAAATAAATCTTCAAAAAATGTGCAAAGACTCTGGCCTCAGAATCAGCCCTTAAGGCATGCGGATCTGGCTGAAAAGCCCATGAGAGTATTTCAGGCATGGAAAGCCAAGATACTCTGGCAAAAAAAAAATGACCTAAATGAAAGATCTCCGCGAGTGAGATCCCAGTGGAAAGAACAGATTATCAAAGAAGGAGGTACCATTCTCTGAAGGGAGGAGAGAGCTTCCATTTTGACTATGACCTTGTCCAAATATGATCAGAGTCAGCGAACTCAAATGGCTTCCATAGCCTTGGCAACTCATGACAAGAGCCTAGGGTGATTACTGATGCCATAAACAAGAGTGTCAATTTGTAAAGTCAACAACAGGAGTCACTGTGCACTTACTCCTCATGTAGGATCTCTGTCCTTAATGTGCTGTACATTGTGATTTAATGCTATAACTAGTACTCAAACAGTATTTTTCACTTTTTGTTTCTATGTGGGTGCAAACTGTTGAAATCTTTACTTAATATATACTAAACAGATCTTCTGTATATAAAGAGAATTGAAAATGAATCTTGATGTGATTGGACGGGGAGAGCGAGCGGAGGGTGGGAGGGAAGTTATGGGGGGGAAGCCATTGTAATCCATAAGCTGTACTTTGGAAATTTATATTCATTAAATAAAAGAATCTGAATAGATAATTCTAAAAAGAAAACGTACAAATGACCAACAGGTACATGAAAGGATGCTCAACATTGGCCAATGCAAATTAAAACCACAATGAGAAATCACTTCACTCCAGTTAGATTGGCTATTGTCAAAAAGCAAAAGGTAACAATTGTTGGTGAGGATGTGGAGAAAAAGAGAACTCCTGCATACTGGTTATGGGAATGTAAATGGGTACAGCCATTATAGAAAATGGTACAGAGATTCCTCAAAACATTGAAAATAGAACTATCATATAATCCAGAAATCTCTGTTCTAGGTTTAGTACCCAAAGAAGATAAAATCACCATGTCATAAGGTATTGACAGCATTATTCACAATAGCCAAGATATGGAAGCAACCTAAGAGCCCATCAATGAAGGAATGGATAAAGAGAATGTAATCTATCTCTAAATAGAGATAGATAGATAGATAGATAGATAGATAGATAGATAGATAGATAGATAGAATCAGTCTGAGGCCAGCATTGTGGTGCCACAGGTTAATCCACTACCTATGATGCCAGCATCCTGTATGGGCACTGGTTTGAGTCCCAGCTGTTCCTCTCCCAATCCAGGTTCTTGTTACTGTGCCTTGGAAATTAGCAGAAAATGGCCCAAGTACTGGGGCCCCTGCCGCCCACATGGGAGACCCAGATAGAGTTCCAGGTTCCTGATTTCAGCCTGGTGCAGTCCTGGTCATTGCAGCCATATGGGTAGTGAATGAGCTGATGGATGATCTCTCTCTCCCTCTTCCTCTCTCTCTGTTCCTCTCTCCCTCTCTCCTCCCCCCCCTCTGTGTATGTGTGTGTCTATGTCTCTCTCTCCCTCTCTGTAATTTGGTCTTTCAAATAAATAAACAAATCTTTTAAAAAAAACAGTAATTACCTCCAGCATACATTTTTAAAAGAGTATTATTTAGCCATGAAAAATAAGGAGACCACACCATTTGCTACAACATGAATGGACCTGGAGGAC